TCTGGTATAACGTCATACTTTCTTTGTATTGGTGCGTCAATTCGTTATGTAATGTACTTGCTTAGAAACACTTAATATTTATGTTTTAATAAATTCTTAAATAGCAATTTATTATATAACTGAATATTCGGTAGCACGCTTATAGAATTTGCATGTTTTTTTTACTGCGTGTAAAATGTAGAAAAAATCTGATGATATAATAACAAAATCAAAGTATGTAAGCACTCTTAACCTTTATTAGAGTGTTCCGATTCTGATTACTTTTATCATTTTATTGGAAGGGGTGTAGCTGGAAATTAGTCCCACCGATAGTTTAAAAGGATTTCAACCAGGGAGGTAGGAAAGGGGAATGATTCATCGATTTCAACGTATTATCACGCATATCTCTTTACAAGATAGTCCGATTTCGAAACTTTTTCCTCTAAGTTTGGTGGAATATAATATTAGAAAATAAAGAACATACCATTAGGAAACCAATGTAAGCGTACCTTATTAGTTTTGAGCCGGTGTATAGTTATTTATATCCTGATTTAACAGATCACACATAGAAGTACCCTATAAGATTTACGAGGTCTGGGTAAAATATCCGAAACTTAAGCGCTGCCCTTAATACCTAATAAATCAAAACATTATATTAATTACGAACTGATTCCTTAATAAGAAATAAAAAAATTATTATATTTATCTTTTTAGCTCTTCGCAGTTTCATTAATTTAAAAGATTTTTTAAATTAAATAATTCACTTGTGAAATAAGTTTTACGTACATATGCTATCTACATAACCCACCTCGCTAAATATAGTTTGTGATGTATTTATGAGGAGTTCTTGTAAAAAATTAATTAATAAAGTTATGTTTGTAAGTGTGGTCGTCCCTCGACAAGAAATACCAATCCCACGAGTATATTTTTTGCATAGCCTTGATTTCATTTGCAAATGCAGTTTTACTGCTCATTAGATTTATGTAAGCCAATCTGCGCTAAGCATTTTATTCTATTCCAAGCCTACACCATAAATATGTTTATTTATACATGCATTTTCTTAGTTGCCGGATAGAATATATTTCTGGTTATTTAGGGAACTCCTCATAAAGTTGTATCGGAGCAAGACTTTAAGCTAAATGAATACAAATAAGTTGATGAAGTATATTTTTATTAAGCTCACATATTTTGAAGTACAAGGAAAATATATTACATTGATATTAGATTATTATTAATTTCGATGTCACGTAAATGTTAATTAAGTATTATGAACTGAATATTTCCCTAATGACAAGGTGTATTGTATTTATTTATATGACAGCTAATTTTACTTTGGAAGGTTGCGAAATTTTTCTTTTGAAATATAGTTAATTTTAGACCTTAACAAAATATAATGTACTATTATATTATCAATACAATATTCTAATCACTTATGAATGACAAAGAATCCAAAACCAATACATAGAACCGAAACAATTAAAAATAATAATGATAATGACAATAAAAATTGTTTTGAGAAACTTTTGATTATGATTTTTCCCACAAAGTTTTGTGAAAAAACCTTTTTAGGACGAACAGGTAAGAGAGACAAGTTGGGATGAAGAATTAAAAAAGCTTGAAAAGAAATAAATGTAAGAAATAAATATATCAAGAATTCCACTAGTCCACATTATTTACCATCTATCATACTGCGACACGAATTTGAATCAGCACATCATCCCGGACTCTCCCCGGTTGAGCTGCAATGCCTTGGCAAATACTTTTCGGAAAAAATATTTTTTTCTTTACACTTTACACAAAGTTACCATACAGCAAACTTCGATAATGCGAATGCGGAATTAATGACATTAGACGCTTCGAATAGGACAAAAAATGTACTGTTCAATGAATTACAAAGAACACGTTGATAACATAAACTGGATCATAACGAATGAGAAAATAAAAGCTGATATGCACCAGTCAAGATGTGGCGACCACTAACATTATTTAACATTTTTGTGAACATATTTGTGTTAAGATATGGTTGAAAAAGATGATTGTATGTATACTGATGTAAATAATGTTTTCTTGTTTAAAATAAAGTAGATTCTTTGAGGAAGATATAAAATTCTATCGAAACACATAGTAGACAAAAAAGGAAAGCTTAGGTATTCACTACCCTATAAATAGATATCCATAATTATATTTATTGTCGTCGCCAAATGGAACTATGATACAAAAATGTATATGCTAGCTTCACTTCGACATTTTTAAAAAACCTGTTTGTTTAGAATTGTTTGATCTTGTTACTTATAATACATATGTTTAACTTGGAGATTTTTTAATAACTTTTGGGATTATTTTTCAAGCAAATACTGTAATATTGAAAGCACGTGTGGATACATTAAAATAATTTTTCTTGAGCGGAAGAAGTAAGAAAAATATAATAAGAGTTGAGAGTTTATTACAAAACTTTGATTTTAAGATTTTCTTGACTGTATGCAAAAAGTCTCCGATTTGCGTCCCTGGTTATAGGGACAACCTCAATTTCATCAGCAAACTATCTGTTAAGACTAGTAATCACCAGAAGGGCCAACAGCAGATTGCAGAGGGTAATGACTTGCAAGGTGCCCAGACAAGTCTGGCTATTGATCGAAATGAACAGTACTAAGTATGTCCTTCTTCTAAACAGGACCTCCATAAGCATAACAACCGCCGAAACAACCCGACATTGTTGTGGGGGTTCATGGTAGAAGGATGAGCTATTTCACAAACTACTACTGCACACAGCTTCAGGGGTATAAATATGTCAACCTCTCAGTGCGGTCAATTATCACTTTCCAGGAATTTTTTTTGATTGTCTTGCAGATCGTGCATCTGTAGATATCTATAACCTCCTCAGCTTTATAAAATACACCAAATAATTTGAGAGTCTGAAAAATTGAGAAGAATTTCCGTCACAGACGCTTGATCAGGGATCCGTGATCGAGCAACCTGTTTATCTTACTAAATGTCTAGATTTCCAAATCTCAATATATTTAGGTCTTAGATTTTAAATTTAAAATTGTTGAGAAATTTAATCAACTTGAACGACTTATAGCGAAACAATTATTGAAAACAAAATCTTGTCTGCTTACAAAAATTTATCCCTAAAACTGATAGGCAATCAACACTCGTGAAGTCAACCACAATGGTTGGAAAATCTAATATAATACGGGATTTTTTGACGTTTAAACATTTAAAAAAATGTAAAACACAACATATTTTTATTTAAAAATTGTAAAATTTTCGTAGATAACATGGTAGCGCGAAAGGGACAATATATAAAATAAACTAGAGCAAATTAACACCGGGGAGCAAAAGTGTGAAAAAACAAGAGAACCAGTAATAAATTATGGGTGTTTTGGGAACATATTAAACTATCAAATATTTTCTTCACCAAATATTCGATAATAATAATTTATATAGGTTATGAATAAAATAGTACTGTTGTTCTTAGAAGGCAGTGTGGGAAAAATAGAGTGAAAAGTTGTCGCTTTGCACAGATGCAAGCTATAATTCGATAATAATAATTTATACAGGTTATGATAGACAATTAAATTTTAGTTCCCGTTTTGTTTTATTTATTTAAGTGCTGTACATTCTTTAAAACTTACAAAATTTGTAAATTTTTACGCTTTTGCTATTTACGTAGCCCTTTTTTCACTATATTAAATTATTAAAGTTTTATTTGTTGTTTATTTATTAAGCAGATATAGGTGTTTAAATATTTCAAATATTTTGCCCTTGAGCACAACAGCAAATGTTTTTTCAGTTTCAAATTATGAAGGTAATAAGAGCAAAAGATAAGCAACATAGCCCAATGTGATCAATACCTTAATTCTTTTATCATATAATTTTTTTCAAGTTTCTATCGGTAAAGAATACTGTGCAAGGCCAAGCCGGTGTTGGTCCGGCTCTGAGCTATTTTTTCAAGGTCGGCCGACTTTTTATATCTTAATTATTGATAGAAACATATTGATTTTGATTTTGAGAACTTATTTTTCTATACTCGTCTATTTTGGGCAAAATGTACCAAAAAAGTGTGTAGAGTTTATGACAAACTCCAGGAGGGGTATAGTTATATTAATTAAAAATTTAATTCATTTACTTTCGAACTGGATAGGTGGAAAATCCCCGCTCCTACATCCCTCCCAGGATTCTCTTTAAAGACGCCCCAATCTTTCAAACGTTATTTTAAAAAAAAGAATTTCAAATTTATGAATAAAACAGTACTGTTGTTCTTAAGGAGGCAGTGTGGGAAAAATAGAGTGAAAAGTTGTCGCTTTGCACAGATGCAAACTATAATTCAAGGGTGTAATCTTTACGTGTTTGACGGAGCTATCGATCATGAAATAGTATGCCTAAATTTTATGTGTACTCAAAAATACCTATTCGATAAAAGTTAAGTTGTGTTGTTCTATTTACTTCAAATTCGGTTCATAGGTGACTTTTTGCTAAGATGAACAAGAAGGCAAAACTTCTCTCCGGGAAATGGACAATGAACTGACCTATTCGATAAAATTGTATTCATGGTTCGATTCACTTGAAATTCAGCACATAGGAAGCTTTTTATTTAGAATGACAGGAAGACAAGATTTCTCTCCGGTAAGTGGACCAGCGACTTACTTATTCGAGAAAATCTTATTTATGGTTCGGCTTACTTGAAATTCGGTACATAGGTGGCTCTTCTCCCGAGAAGTGGATCGGGGACTTGCCTATTCAAAAGGCTCCGGGAAGAGGACCAATGTCAATGGTAAACCTAAAATTTTGGTATTTTCTAAATATTGTGTAAATGAAGTCATGTTAAAAAGATATCCCATTATTAAATTTTCATACATTCAATGAGTATGTGCGACAGCGTAGCGTTGCAAGGTACAGCTAGTAAATATATATATATATTTATGTTGTATATATATATAGACAATTGCATATATATAATCGTTTTTACTTCAATTAAGTAAAATTAATATTTTATTATATTCTTTTCATAACGTTTATAGGAACTAGAAGCATTGGTACGCGTTTCGAAGAGCAACGTCTAACACTTCGAATTCATCGAGGTCGGGGGTCAAATCATCATGACTCAACGCACAGCAGTGGTAGCACACAAAGCACAACCACCACATTAGGCACTCCTTCACCAGAACGTCTTTCAAAATACACCACTCGTCGCGCTTTTCACCATGATAAAATCAAAATATCCGTTTCATACGCTTCGAGCGAGACTATTAATGAACTCGGTGTTGAGTCAACTGGTACGAATGAGCAACGACCTTTCAGCAGCGGTAGCATACTTTATGCAGTTCACTACAACACAGTCAGTGGCAGCGGTTCCAGGGAAAGTCAATCCAGCAATAATTGCTACCTCCAAGTGGAAAAGTCTGTATCAGGCATGGAGCGACGTCAATCGAACACCAGTGATATAAGCCAGGCCTATGGAATGTCAACTACGCAACAGCAAGAACCACATCGATGCAAAAGAATAGGACGCAAGCATTTAAAAACGCAAGTAAAACGCTTTCGAACAGAAACCAAAGCGACCAAAACCTTAGCAATCATTGTTGGCCTTTTCATTATTTGCTGGCTACCATTTTTTACCATATACGTTATTCGGGCGTTTTGCCAGGATTGCATAGACCCACTCTTATTCTCAATACTGTTTTGGCTTGGATATTGTAACTCTGCCGTTAATCCAATGATATATGCACTCTTTTCCAAAGATTTTCGTTCTGCATTTAAAGTTATCATATGTCATTGCTCCTGCTCCCAAGAAGACATGTTTTTAAAAAATTATCGACGAGGAAGTGATGTTTCGGCAGGCCGCTTCCTTGAGCGGACACAAAGTATTACTGCAAGTGCAGCTGCAAATTCTGTTGGGGATGAAAATGAAAGATTCAACTCAGAACTAAGTAATGAGCAGACGTGACAAAATTTTGAATACTTCGTTATGTCCCACCGTCATTTGAAAGGTGACAAATATATATGGATATGTTATGATATGTGCAATTTGGACTCCAAACATAGAGAGTGTCAGGTATATTTGTACGAATCTCATCAGCTTTATATTTATCTAAATCGATAAGTGTTTCGCTTACAATTTTAGATAACAAAACTATAAATGTAAAACGGCAGGGTTCTTTTTTCCGTTGGGGCAAGAACTTACAGTTAAAAATTTTCTGAAATTCAACTGTACACCATTTGATGGTTCATTTGAACCATTTCAAGTGCGGCTTGAATAAAAATGACAACCCATAATCATCTTAGGAGTAAGAGCATTAGCTCGTGATGTCGAGAAAAACAGTGTGAGCCTGTATCCTCTTAGGTACAAAATCTTTTTATCTGAATCTAATGTAGAAGCATCTTAGATATCTTATGCTTACAAATGTGTATTTCAAAATACATTATAAGCTGTGACAAAATTAAACTAATATATCGCCGCTGTTGCTATTAGCAAGATTAATCAAAGGCACTTTACATGACTTATGTGTTTTAAATAAATTAGATCTAACGGTAACGGCCGGCTTTGTAAAAGTCCCAAAAGAAGCTGCTAGGACAATCTGCTGCTGAGTCGATGTGTACTTATGAGAGGTCCTTCTGGAAGCCTCCTCGTTGAACAATGCAAAAACTCCAATAACTAGTCGAAAAGACTATCAACCCTCAAATAATTATATCGAACATATATTTATATGAAATGTGTGTAATTAATTGTGTTGTTCGTTTGCACACGCATCACTGCAGAACGCATCAATGGATTTTCGCCACTCCTTTTTATTAGGTTTTCTCTACTACAAAAAAACCGAAAAATATAAGAAAAGCTGGAAGTTATTACGATGTTGCGACTTTAACAGAGACGATTATTTTTTAAGTATTAAACTATGATTTTTCATACAGTCACTAGTTACAAAAATGATCAGAAGAAACATTTACACAAGAGACTATTTTGCAATTCAGTAATCGAATCATCCATCGATTAAAATGTCGTGTCTCCTTTATAACTTATGTGTATAGGTGCATATATATGTATGTTTTCAGAACTGTAAAAAAGTAAAAGAAATTCTTTCAAATTTGTATAACGCCGTGTTTTTAATGGAAAGTTAATTGATATGTAATATGCAATAGATATAAGAAAAATAAAGCTTTTCTTAAATTGAGAAGTTTTTTTTATTTTTTGACGATTGTGGCATGGATAGCGTGTACCTTTCCCCCAAAAACGGAGTTCGGCTGGTAGCAATAAGAAAACCCCGCAAGAGTGAGAGATGAAGAAAGATCTAGGACAGATCGCAAGGGCCAAGAGCCGGTGAATTCGCCTATTACAAACAAGGTAAGAACAGCTATTTTGGTAAAGAAAAGCTTACATTCGTATATTGATCTTAGATTCTCCTCAGATGGCTTGACGATGCTGTAAAGGATGACAAGGTTGAAACATTACTCTTTGCGTCCTGTCGCATACGACACGATAATGAAGCGCTACTCTTGTCAAGGTATCTCTAAGTTTTTTAGAATAAAGTCCACTAAAGACTAACCCTTTCGTCGGTATCTCCGCTACTCCATACAGTGTGATGCGCATTGGCGTCTGCGCCTATAACTAGGAGTCTCTTTCGTTTACGGCCTGCACTATTAATTTTTTGTTATAATTTAATGAGTTTTAGTTGAAGAACCTTTTGATTTGCACCGCCTAACTCCCCTCTAAACTCCTTTGGATCCGAAATAACAGACTGCTAAGCATGGTACCTTCATTATCTAAATTATCCTTTAAGTGTCCCAAGCATCAAGATTCAAATAATTTCAATAATTACTTGCCAAATAAAAAAGTTAGCGTAGTTAGTACCTTAACATGCAACCTTTCGTTTGAGTATTACATAAAATGAAGTCTCATTATTATTATCAATTTTTAACCAAAACTTTTCTACGTAATTGAAATACATGCATTTCTTTTTCTTGAATTCTTTAATATTAAAACCAATTGTAGAAATTAATTTCATTTTCACAATATTTTTTTTATTATTATCAATTTTTAACCAAAACTTTTCTACGTAATTCAAATACATACATTTCTTTTTCTTGAATTCTTTAATATTAAAACCAATTGTAGAAATTAATTTCATTTTCACAATATTTTTTTTTTTTGTTTAAAAGCTAAGCCAACTGCTTTGGCTTAAACCTACTTTGCTTTTGTTTTCCTATTCTTCTGTACATTATACACTTCATAATATTCCCAATGTTTTTCAGGATCAGCAGAGGGGTAAATTTGCATTTATTAATTGTATTTTATATTTTTTATTTAAATCCAATAGCGGATATTATGTACTTCTTTTTTTCTTTTGCTTGATACCATTAATATACAACCCTTAATTAAACAGTTTTTTAAGATTACAATCTATGCATTTGAAAGGTTTTAAAAAGTAAAAAGGAAATATATATAAAACCAGGTTGAATACCAGGATCCAATGCTTCTTTCAGCCAAGCTAATTGACCAATCATAATGAATTTTGCAGGAGTTGTTGCTGTTGATCTAATTGTTTAAGCGTGTGCTTAACAGAACATCAACGTCACCGAAAACCCATACATTTTGTGCGCATCCTAATGCAGCCACATTGCAGCAAATATTATATAAGCAGTGAAAAGCATGCAGAATGCGAGATTTTTCTAACAACTGCCATCAAGCGCGCACCAGGGGGGATAAATAATAAAAAATTATAAGAATAATTACATTACCTATACAAATAGCGGACATTGGATAAAAGATATATTTTGTCATCAAACTGAAAATAAGATAGTCATAAAGAATTTGTATTAAAAATTAAATAAACAATTGTACAATTATACTCGAAACGCGAGTGGTTTTATTTCGAATGGCTGACGAAGGGACCTTCGCGTAAATATGGTCCAACGAGGCTGAAATTGAGCCAACTTATGGTGTATAGCCACAACAAAAAAAATTTGCAAGATCAAGTGAATGTGCATACTACAAAATTAATTAAAAGTGAATTTTGACTTTCGAAAGAAACTGACATACAAAAAAAAAAAAAAAAAAAAATAATTAAGTGTACATAAATTCTAATTTACACATTGAAACAAAAACTGCAAAAGTAAAATATTAATAGTATATACAATTTACAATAAAAAAAATACAAAACTTTAACTAATATTCGAAAGTTGTATGCACATATAATCAAGACTAATACACACATATGTATATACAAACGAAAAACAAAACAACAACAAAGACAACCAAATATATGCTATTACGGATTGCTGTTGAAAAAAGGAACAGGAACTTGCTGCAAGAGGTTATCACCACAGCAACAACAACACCAAAACATCCTTACTCCATCACTCAGATGCAGATCGCTGACACCAAGTAAACTACAGCGCTAGAAGCAAATAAAAGGGCAGTAAGATTGTTTTAAGAAATATATACGTATGTACATACTTGTTGATCGCAAGGACAACTTACAGTCAAATCTTCAAGCATACTTTTACATACATATACTCGTATGCAAAATCAGAAAATTTAAATTCCTTGTACATACATATATTATATATGCAAGTAAATAACTTTGTTTTCTCAACAAAGCAAAAATCTGCAAACTATCAAAATATACTTGTTTATTTTCAATAACAAGAATTTCAGTAACGCGATCTTGAAGGTTGTTGACCTCAACTTCGCTTTGAGCAATTGCAAATCTAGCAAATGTACGGATATGCACGCATTAACATTAGGAAATTAATTATAACACATTACCCAATAGTGTTCTTAAGTTCGCATATTAAAATAAATAGGCACTCTCCTGTGTCATTTCTCTCTTTTGTACTTCAACAAAAAACATTGGTACTAGAAAGTTAGTATTTCCGAAAAATAGTGCATCCACTCCCGCGATCACTTTGCTAACATTTTCCTTTTGTGCTTTCTCAAGCATATTAGTTGATCTAATTCGCTCCCAGTTCAGCTGAAACATTACATTGCAAGCATATGCACAAATATTCATACATACAAACTGCATCCCAACCCAGCAGTAAACACTTCTGGGTCACTTTATATTCAAGTAGTCCTAAACTACACCCGATTTCCTGCAACATTAGTTCCCCGAGTCTAAGTGCAGACTTGTTTAAAAACAATAAATTTTAATAAAAAGCATTTAAATAAATTTAAAATTACATAATGCCAAAGGATCAAAACCCTCGGCTAAGTATCTCCTCCAAGATACCCCCAAAGAAGTCTCCAACACAGCTTAAGACACAACCCCCCACTAATGCTGCTTCAACCCATGTAGCAGCTGAAAGCAAAATGGAGCATCAAATCACAAAATGCAAACCACACTGCCCGTGTGCGCAAATATTTGACAAAACAAATTATGGCTTAATGAGATATTGTGCAAGATTTAACTCTTCCCCCATAGAGGAGTTTTCAGAAAATCTCCTAAAATAATTAATTATAATAATAATAATTCTCTTGACGATTGGTATAAACAAGTTCAAGACGCATACGATGTCTTATTCCAAAAAGACAAAGAAGACCTCCCCGCGAATTTTCTTGCGCTGGCGGAAGGAAAGTATCAATTTAGCATTGAACTTATGAAAACACTAAAGTCAAAATTGTAGAGCAACTAAAGTTAATTAGTGCAGTGAATCAACCAATGTCTGGTTCTCAAATAGAAGCCAGACTAAAAATAGTTAAAAAACCGGAAGTATATCTCCAACTGCCGCCATGTGACTCTGAAACCTTTTATTGTGGATACGATGAGTGGCCGTCTTTCCGAGACATGTTCCCTGCCGTATATGTAAACCACCCCTTGCTATCTCCAGCTCAAAAACTATACCATCTCCGGTATAAGACAAGAGGCCAAGCAGGTGATATAGTTAAACGATTCGTTTTAACTAACGACAATTTCCAATTGGCATGGGATGCTCTCCACTTCCGATATGAAAACAAGCGTCAATTAGTCGACAATCAGGTCACAAAACTATTGAACTTACTCAAAGTTCGAAAAGAAACCAGTGAAGAATTTATTAATGCGTTGAACACAAGCTCGCGAAATCCTTTACTTTGCATAAAATAACTAAGCCTATTCTCTCTCCACAGAATAGTCACCAATCGTGCCAATTGTGCAAAAAGAATCACTCGTTAAAGCATTGCAAGCAATTTAAGAAATTGCCTATACCCCAACGGTATAAATTTATTAAAACTAATAACATTTGTACAAATTGTCTGGCGTTGCACCATACTCTCAAACATTTGCATATAAGCCCTACTCATGGGTTTGACCGAAGGAATAAAAAAAATGTGCCCTTGACCTTCCCGTGTCAAGATAAACACAAACAGGCACACTTGACCACCCCGAGTCAAGACATGCAGAAAAATGCGATTTTGACCTCTCCGAGTCAAAATATACAGAAAACTGTAATGATCACTCCAGATCATAATTCCCAATCGGCCAGCAGAAATAACATGCAATCGCACTACCCAAGTCATGAGAAGATCTGTTCATTGCATACTCTGATCACCCCTAGATCAGATGTTTCCCAAGGACGCATTACAAATAAGTTCTACACGCCCCGTAGAACAGGCTCCTATCGGCAGAATGACACACATTCGTGTCTGCATCAGCAAAATATTAATAAACTAAAAATTAAGAAACGACACTTTCCGCTGCAGTATACTTCCGACTTTTTCTTTCCAGGAAACGGACAACCGAATCGGATTACGGCTTTAAATCCTAAAAAATCCCGCCGAAGTCCAGAACGCAATAGCAGCGGAAATAGCGTGACGTACCACCGAGGGAAACAACATTATACACGGCCCCCACACATTCAATGGATCTAATTCAGCACTTCGTGCAGGGCGGCCTAATATGTTTAAGCGTGTGCTTAACAGAACATCAACGTCACCGAAAACCCATACATTTTGGGCGCATCCTAATGCAGCCACATTGCAGCAAATATTAAATAAGCAGTAAAAAGCATGCAGAATGCGAGATTTTTCTGACAACTGCCATCGAGCGCGCACCAGGGGGGATAAATATTAAAAAATTATAAGAATAATTACATTACCTATACAAATAGCGGACATTGGATAAAAGATATATTTTGTCATCAAACTAAAAATAAGATAGTCATAAAGAATTTGTATTAAAAATTAAATAAACAATTGTACAATTATACTCGAAACGCGAGTGGTTTTATTTCGAATGACTTACGAAGGGACCCTCGCGTAAATAATAATCTATGTTTATTTATTATAATTAACACATAAATGTTTATAAATTATAAATAATTTGTTGTGAAAATATCACGGCACGTTTATCGTCAAAAGAGTTAAACTGAATTTACTTTATTAGAAACAATGTCACAATTTACCTACATACATACCTTATGTTATTTTGTATCATGGTGGTAATAAAACCTTTTCATTTTCTGTTACCGGAATAGTATTCCTGAAATTTTTACTTTAAATGTATTTCTTAAACCTTTTTTTTATAGCTCTAGAACTTTACACAACAGCTAAACTTAGTTTCTGCGAGGGACGTGTCCGTCGTTGCGAAGTACTGGAAAGCTTTGAAATGAAACGTGTTTGTATTGGCACCTATCCGAAAGAAATATCTATTAAGTACCGAGATAAAATGATGACAACTGGAGCACAATATGCAATATTTCAATTGAGTGATGGCAAGGCAAATCATTATGTTATTTCGCACTACTTTAGTCCATTGATTAAGTGCGTCAGTGCTCGGTTCATTACTCCTTTGACTTATAGCTGCACTACTAAAAATGGGGAAGCTGAAGTAATAAACCTAGAAAATAGCTTCATGCATTGCATAACTGAACATTTGCAAATAGTAGATGACTTGCTAGTTTTGTGTACTGAGGAGCGAATGAAGCCTTCAGTATTTGTTGCTTTGCAATATAGCACAAAAAAACTTCCACAGATTTCGACGAGTGCAGCTAGAATAACGCCAACCCCTCAATTCGTCCTGGTACTTATTACGTTAATCCTATAGAAATGCGGAATAAATTTGTGGCTGTTAATTGTTTTTTATATAAAATATTGGAATGTTCAAATATATTTTAATTAATTACCGATTAATTGAATTGGTAGTATTTAGGCATCAAATGAGAGAAAGTGTAAAAAATAGTGAAACAATTTGCATATACATGTTTATATATAAAAATGTGTTATTAGTGTTCTATACCTCCTTTTCTTCGTTTTGGGCGAAGGAACCACGTACGCGATTGCAACCGAGTTAACAGCCGACTGCTGCGCCGACTTTCCTATCCGCCGTTTGGCGCCATTTAAGCATACCAAGTGAAACCAGGTTCTTCTCAATCTGATCCACACTGAGAAGATTCAATAAGTTTTTTGACGTTGACTTAAAACTTTCCCGCAACACCCGACAGACCTTATACGCAATACTGGGGATACTTGTCCCACGATAATTGCTCAGATTGTGGAGTCCCAATTTTTTGCACTTAGATTCTAATCGCCAGGCATACATACAAAAACATATTTTTTTCTTCAGATTTTAAGGTGTGTTTATTAGTACGAGTATACTCCCAAAGATAAAATAACATACAAGCTTTTTGGTAAAAAGTAATGAAAATATGTTAATAGGCCAGAAGTGAAATAATAATTATAAATTTAATCCACAATATTAAGGATGTATTTTTCATATAACCAACACTTATTGAACCCGTTCTGTCAATAGTTGAATAGTGTAATGCCACAAATTGCGTCGGCCTCAAGTTGTACGGTGAACAATAACGAATAAGGTCATCTGTTGGATCGAATCCTAATTGGATGCATATTATAAAACCATCTACGGCACCAATGTCTTTCCAAACGCCGTCGGAGTTTTTGCATCGAAATGAATTCCAATGGGTCACTTGCAATAAAGCACAATTTATAGTTGTGCTTTCGCCAAAACTCACAAAGAAGTGGTTTCTATAATCTTCTGGAAATTGAAAAATCGCACAGATTTCTTTGGGCTTTACCATTTCGTCCTTATATTTTATTAACAAATCTGTTGGATATTTGCTGATACAAAGTCGCTTAAACTCTTGGTTTTGTAAGATTTTACAATCCGTTCTTAAGCGAAGGCCTTGAATAAATTTTGCTAAGTCCCAGATCGAGGCTATAAATACAAAAACAATTTTTGATAACATTACGAAAAATATTATATTTCATAAATGAAGTTAATCACAACTTTTGTTTATTATGGATGCCGCCATCAGTAAAGTTCAAAATGAAAAGAAACAAATCATCCGTTGTTCACAATTAAATTAGTTATCCACAGTGAATTTGTTGGAAAACCTTAAATGTAATTAAGGGACGCAACCTATTGTAATTACTATCAGATTGACGGAATAAAGACAATACTACTTATTTAAACTTAGGAAATATTATTAATGTTCAATTTATTACTAATTTTAATTTTATTTATTTTATTTTAATTTGTAAATTATTATGTTAAAATGCTTGAATACTTAAAATTATAAATTTTTTTAATCTTATTTACTTAAAATATGAAGACTTTAATTACCAACAAAGGAAGTGGTTGGACTCGAAATCCAGAAAAGATTAGGTCTAAAAAAATTTTTGTTACGTAAGACCCACGTTTTGGGGATTTAATTAATTTGATTGTTAACAATGGATATTCTAATAAAGAAGTCTTGAAATCTGAAACAAAAATAATATGTCAAACCAAAGTTAAGAATATAACAAGCGTTTTCTAAAAGGGGTCGTTCAGGTTAAGAGATATCAACATCTCCGAGTGTATTTCTGACCTAACAAAAGGATTCACTTGCAAATGGCGCATAATCGAAAAAACGATTGTCATGCTATATTTCGTTCGGTTGTATAATATAATAAAAAATATAAATCTAATAATTGTCACCAAAAACTTCCGAAATTTATTCTGTTTTTTCGTGTTTGCCTGAAATACACCGTTGAGCAGCGGCAAAAATAATTGCGTCATGCATACAAATTTTTACTTCATAATAAAATGCTCTTCGGAGTTTTAGCTCAGTAACATTGGAAAAAAACTGATATAAAATTATGACAAATACTCGTAGACGTATCTGCACTTATAAATATCTTAGTCAGTAATTATTAAGTTATGGCAAGATTATTGTCGAATATCCATAGTTTAACTCACAGTAAGTGATAAATGAGGATAGTCCTTCTACCGAATTTGTAAGTTTTAAAAATAAATATGCATATTTAATAAAACAATTATAGGCACCTCTGTATGGAAAAATGTTTGCAATTCCTTCAATTTAGTAAGCAGGAGATTCGTTGTCACCAGTAAGTGGTTTTTCAAACATTTAACGTTGAGCTCTAATTTTGTTTACAGTACTAATTTTTCATCTGCAAGGACATATATATTTTGAGGAAACGTCTAGTCCTCCTGTAAAAGGTATTCCTTGCGGAGGTATAAGAGAGAGCAGTGAGGATAATTTAGCTGACAAAAAGCATAATATTTCGCGAAATAGAACTGGCATGCCTTCGGCGCAAGCGGTTGTTGGGAAAATTTATGCTATCATAGGTCCAGTGGTGGATGTAATTTTTGAAGATAATGTTCCTGAAGTAATGAATGCAATGATTGTACCTGATTATGAAGGTGGACAATTAGTTTTGGAGGTATATGACTGAAGATGTATTGTGCTAATGTATTATAAATGTACGTATATTACATATAAAAATTTGTATCGGTTTTCTGAGGTTTTTCATCATCTCGGTGACGGTTTAGTACGTTCCGTAGCAATGGACAGTACAGAAGGACTACGCCGCGGCCAAAAAGTTATTGACACGGGCTATCCTATTAGAGTGCCCGTTGGTAGGACATGCTTAGGTCGTGTTATGAATGTGATTGGCAATCCGATTGATGAACGGGGTCCTATAATATCAGATTTCCATTCATTCATACATGCAGAACCACCGGAGATGATAGATTTGAATGTAAACCCTACACTATTAGAAACTGGTATAAAGGTATTACACATGTGTTTAAGAGACTTCCTTCAACAAGGACCTCTAACCGAATGCAATATACATAGGTCGTAGATCTCTTGGCTCCTTATGTAAAAGGCGGAAAAATTGGGCTATTCGGAGGCGCAGGAGTAGGTAAAACAGTTTTGATCATGGAACTGATTAACAATGTCGCTAAAAAACATGGAGGATATTCCGTATTTGTTGGCGCTGGTGAAAGAACTCGAGAAGGAAATGATCTTTACATGGAAATGATTGAGTCTAAAGTTATTTCAATTGAAGATGATAGTTCAAAAGTAGCTTTAGTATATGGACAAATGAACGAACCGCCAGGCGCTCGCTCTCGCGTCGTATTAACTGGTCTTACAATAGCCGAGTACTTCCGCGATATGGATGGTCAAGATGTACTTTTATTTATCGATAATATATTTCGTTTCACTCAGGCTGGAGCTGAAGTTTCGGCGCTATTAGGACGCATACCATCTGCGGTTGGTTATCAACCTACATTAGGTACAGATATGGGTATGTAACACAGAAATTTTAGTTAATTTCATTATACATATATAAAATTCTGGAGTCACAGTGTTAGACACGATACTGATCCGAAACGGCTTTACCGATTTTTATGAAATTTCAGGTGCATATTCAGTAGGTCTGAGAATAACATAAAATCAATTTTTAACACCGGGAACAGGATCTGGGACTGATCTATTCGAAAAAAAAATGTTAAGGCTCGATTTACTTGAAATTCGGTATATATGTAGGTGTCATTTTGCTTAGATTAACGGGGACAGATCTAATCAAAAAATTCTTATGTCCGTTTGTAACGGGTGTTCTCCAAAAGTTAGCGACCGATTGACTTGAAATTTCGTCAGACTATTTTTATGATACCTGGGAAGGGGCGAAGTACTTAAAATTCTCTACATAGGGGACTTTGCTTAGTTAAACAGGACATGACGCTTATCTCCAGAAAGTGGAACAGAGACTGACATAGATGGCTTTTTAAATAGATTAACAGGAAGAATTCACTTCTCTCAGGGAACTGACCTATTCAAAAAAACTTATTTATGGATCGGATTGCTTGAATTTCAGTACATAAGCAGTATTTAACTTAAGTTAACAAAGACTATACTTTTTTCCGGGAAGTGGACCGGGGACTGACCTATTCAAAAAAAAACTTATTAATGGATCGAATTACTTGAAATTCCTTACATAGGTAACTTTGCTTAGATAAACAGGAAGACAACGCTTATCTCCAGAAAGTGGAACAGAGACTGACATAGATGGCTTTTTAAATAGATTAACAGGAAGAATTTGCTTCTCTCATGGCACTGACCTATTCAAAAAAACTTATTTATGTAACGAATTACTTGAAATTCAGAAGATAGGTGTCTTTTTGCTTAGATAAACAGGAAAACTACACTTCTCTTTGAGAAGTGGACAAGCGACTGACCTATTCGAAAAAATTGTTTTTATTGCTCGATTGACTTGAACTTCGGTACGCAGCTGGCTTTTTGCTAAGATTGACAGGTAGACTACACTTCTCTCCAGGGAGTGGATAAGCGACTGACTTATTAGAAAAGCTTGTCTATGGTTCGGCTTACTTGACATTCGGTACATAAATAGGAGGCTCTTCTCTCGGAAAGGCGGACCAATGTCAATGGTAAAACCAAAAATTTTGTATTCCGCAAGTATTGAGAAAATGAAGTCATGCTAAAAAGATATCCCATTACTAAATTTTCATACATTCAATGTATGTACGAAAGCAAAGCGTTGCAGGGTACAGCTAGAATATATATATATATATATATATATATATATATATATGTATGTATGTATATATATGTTTGTAAATATGTACATATTTTGCTTATCCAAAAAATTCCTCCGATAAGGCTCAATGCAAGAACGAATCACCAGCACTAAAAATGGTTCGATTACCTCAGTTCAAGCAGTGTATGTTCCGGCTGACGATCTCACTGATCCCGCACCAGCTGCTACCTTCGCACATTTGGATGCTACCACTGTACTGTCTCGTGCAATTGCCGAACTTGGCATTTATCCAGCCGTAGATCCCTTGGACTCGACATCGCGAATAATGGACCCAGTTATTGTCGGTGAAGAACACTATAGCGTAGCCAGAGGAGTTCAAAAAACACTTCAATCATACAAATCGCTTCAGGTAATAAAAAAAATATATTCTAGATAGTAAGCAAATCTTTGTTCATTTTAGGACATAATTGCCATTCTTGGAATGGATGAGCTCTCCGAAGACGACAAATTAATTGTGGCTCGGGCCAGAAAAATTCAGCGCTTCTTGTCTCAACCTTTTCACGTAGCAGAAGCATTTACTAGCCATCCTGGAAAAATGGTACAAATTGAAAAGACAGTGGAGGGCTTCAAACGCATTTTAAATGGAGAAATGGATGATTTACCTGAAATTGCTTTCTATATGGTTGGTGATATAAATGATGCCATTATGAAAGCAAAAAACTTAGCCATGTCTATGACAGCGGAAAAATGAATATTCAATGTATTAATCTATTTACGAGTACATCCATTCTTTTATGAACAACGTATTTATATATTAAATAACATCACTTCTCCTACATAATTTTATCTTCAGTTCTCTTTTGGGTTTTTTAAAAATATTTTTTGTTGTCTAGTGTTGCACCAAAATGTCAAAATAAAAATTTTTGCACCGTTTTGAAAATATGAAAGCAACGAGAACATAATACGAAACTCTTTATATCCTAAGTGCGGTCGATATTACCATTCAACAGATCGATTAAATTACATTTATTTCCGTTCACCACCTCACGAAAATTCTCTATTTAGGCCATTTCATAAATTATTTCTCAAAAACCGGGCTGTAAACTAAAAATTTTCTAAACTCATATGAAATTGTTTTTTCTATTTACCTTTTCCTGCTCACCTTTATACTCACCTCTCCCGTTTTATCCTTACCATAAACGCTTACCTGTCTGCAACCGTATCCTCCTTCTTCTCGGTAAACATTTAGTAAATAAACAAATTAAGGCAGAGCTCGTTCGGATTCTTGTAAATAAAATCCGAGATACAATAAATTTAATATAATTCATAAAAAGCTGCGTTTAATATAAAATACAATAATACGTAGCCTGTATGTTATCCTTGGTGCTGAAACCCAATTACGGAATGAATAAGAAAAATTCATAAAGTAATCCAGAACTAAAACAAAACAAAAATACAAACAAAATAAAAACAAGCCATGTCGTTGCGGGAGATTGCCACCTTAAAACTTAAAAACCATGATACAATGATTTTCAAAATAAAAACGAAATCTGCGAGACAAACACTTACTCTATTTTTTGTTATAGAAAAATAATAAAATATTATATTATATTTATGACATATTTATATATTTGCCTGCGTGAATTAGTTTAGATATTAATACAAATATGTTATAAACTTAATAGATGTGTATGTATATACACATATAAAAATAAAAATATACTTATGCGTATAAATATACATATTATTTATATATAAATACGTATAAAATATCAATAATGTAGTAATATTGCGTACATATAACTCACCGCGACTCTTATATACATACATGTACAATACTTATGTATCTATCTTCAATAATATTGATTTACGTTTATTAACATACGCACGTATACATGAAAACTATATGTAAACTATAGAATTGTCAATTAAAAGAGTCTTTATGTAATAATTCATATGTTCATATACAGACGAGTACATGCATATATTGGTGCAGACGAAAATGATTAATTTTTCATGATAAAACGATTCACGTTTATTTAACACAGTATTACTTATAAAACAGCATATAAAGCAAAAATATTTAAAAGCCCTAAGATGATGATATTCGTTTAATGTTTATTTTTTCCGCTTCGATATCTCGCAATTTTATGGGTTTAAGTCGTTTGCTAAGGATTTATTTCGTTTGTTTATTTGCTTAAGTCCTAATAATGCAGAGGATGGTATTGACCATTGTTTTCATTTTCATAATAAGTTTCGTGGCGAGAATCATAACTTGCAGAAGCCACCGCATTTAGGTGAGCAGCGCGAGCGCGCTGCACCTCTGGAGGCTCAACCGGTACGCCATTGTGAATGATTGGGATATGAATAGGACCTTGGTTATAATTACCAGCATAACTACTTCCATGTTGACCGTCCCATTCTGCGCTGGGATAATTTCCATTGTAACTTGATCCTACATGGCTAGAACGTGCTGAGGCCTCATTTACTGCCGCAAAGTGGGCAGCTTTAGCGTGTTGGACTTCCGGTGTTTCCACTGGCACTCCGTTATGAATCACTGGAATATGGTAGCCATGAACGGGAACTGTATGACCAGTAGAATGAGTTGTACGTGCAGCTGCATGTGCAGCATAGTGAGCAGCTTTAGCATGTTTAACTTCGGGGGTATCGACAGGAAGGGCATTGCTATATGTTGCATGGCTTAAAGCTTTAGCATGAGCAGCGAAGTGTTCTGCTTTCGCTGCCTGAACATCTGGGGTGTCTACTGGGACGCCGCCATGAGTCAGTACTACAGGGGGTATAGCATTTTGATGAGCATAATTCCATGGCTGACCATAGAGTGATCGCTTATATAAATGATGAGCATTGGAATCGTACGAGTCTGGGTGTACTGCAGCTGCTGCTGCTGCAGCAGCATAAGCGACATAGTGTTCAGCACGTGCATGTTGTACTTCTGGTGTATCCACAGGAACCCCATCTTTTGTCAGAACTGGAATGTGTTGCGGATAATGCTGGGCATATGGCACGTATGAGTGTGCAGCAGCCGAATGAATTGCAGCGAAATGAGTTGGTTGTGGTTCGGGTGCTTTTGGCAGATTCGTGCCAACAGCATTGAAGCCATGATGAGGATCAGCAATATAGGAGAGCGATTGTACATGCCCGCTACCATCCACATAGGAATATGAGCCACGTGTAACTCCATCAAAAGATCTGCTCTCCTGTTTTTGCGAGTTGGGATCAGCATAACCGTACGAATAGGTACGACTGTGCGGGTCGAGATGTTGAAATTGCGTCGAGACAGCTCCATGGAGAGTTGAGCTGCTTTTGGAGATGAGGAAAGCTAGTAAAACTATCTGGAAAATAAAAGACAAATACAAATTGAAAAACCAAGCGGGGCTAAAAAATGTTAAAATAGATTCAAATATCACAACCTCAGCATTGAATGGGAGTTGAGTGTGCAATTTCCTCTATGGTTTATAATAATATGGGGCTTAATTAGCATCAAAAATAAAAATAATTTTATAATTGTTTGCAAAGTACAAAGTTGCGAAAGCCTTGTTTATCAAGAGGATAACGCATAGTACCATATTTCATGTAGAATGTGAGGGTGGCCGCGGTTACAGAACATGAGTGTTTGTTGAATATCCTTCGGTGTCTTCTGTCGTTAATATCATCAAAAATATATCGGGCTTCTTAGATAGTAAAAAGAACAGCTTCAACAGACAATGCTCTTCTTTGTTTTACACTCAGATGCAAAAGTTATTTGATGCAATAACCAACAATATTTTATAGCTTTAGAAGCACTCGTCGGCTAGGTTCGTAAACAATAAATAATAATAATAGTACCAAAATTTTAAAAATCACCTTAAACTGGCATAACTCACCAACAAAATGAAAAGATTCAATCTAATTTTTTCAGAAGCTTATTGCCTCGCTTAAGCCGTTGAGTGTGGAGATTGTGCTCCCTGACATGAACCAATCATTGATTGTATCATTATTATTTCATTTAATTGTTTAGTTCTGCTATGACAATTTGTTTTGAGAATTGCTTACTGCTTTTTAGTTACGCTATTAGTATACGAGAATGTTTCTTTTAATTTTATTTTGTACCAACAAATGCATTTAATATTGAAGAATAACAAATGCATTGCAATATGAGAACTCACATATGCATTTGTTTTAAAAAAGTAATTGGCATGCTCATATATACATACGTACGCGTAAAAATCTATAGGTGTTCTAATGCTGCAGGTATCTTAATTTTTACGAAAATATAAAGACATACGCCAAAAGCGACAGAGAAGCTAAGTGTTTTGAAAACTTGGGGTCTGGTTCCGAAACTGCGGAATCTCTGAGAGTCGTTATAATTTCCATTAATATTAGCCTCATTCATTCTTTATATCTACGTTTTACGAGTATATGTATAAATAATTCAAATGTCATGTGTTATAAATCTAGCTGTTCATAATCGTATTTAGAACTGGCAACTGATTGCAAAAGCAAAATAATCAGTTAATCACTAGGGGAGTTCTGTTAGTTTAGGAAATGCATGCTAAGTTGCCAAACTAATCTAAAAACTCAAATATTTTTGACGTACAAGTGTCAGCATAGCCCACTATTTTTACAAAAATTTATTTGTTAAAATCATTCATACGAGTTTCAACATAAAAGGTATTCGTTCTTATATAATTGTTTTTAAGAAGAAAGCACACGTTTAATATAAAATATATACATATATATATATATATCACACAATCATAAGAAAAAATGCCGAGCAGAACAGTCAAAATATGTAAGGGTATACCATAAAAAAAGTTTTTATTATTTACTCACAAATAGTTTCATGTTTGATTATTATTCGATCACAATTTTTATTAGATTCTTCACAATAAGTTAGATATAGAGTATAATATTTTTATATATAGAAATAAAATCCTGAGAGTGAGCAACGGCGGAAGCAAAAATACAGTCAGTAGCAAAAAACAAACACTTTTTTTAATTTATGAGTCTGTTACTCCGTGCTTAAAAAAATTGCTTTTATATGAAATCTAGTTGGTTGAACCTCCTAGAATCGCGACTAGGACTGTTAACGAACTGTGCTGAAAAGTGGCCGGCGCGTCAAATATATACCAACGAACCCCAAACTGAACTATGCCAAAATAAACAGAAGAAAGAAATAGATAGCAAGCTAGCAATAAGGCAGTAAATGCATAAGTATGCATGCATTTCATAGTCATAGTAGCAACTACGAATATATGCAATAGTAAACTATAACAATGGTAACCCAACTAATAATTACAAAAAAATAATAATACCAGCAAAAGAGCTAACATAACAAAAAAGCAAAGCTAAAATGTAAATACATGTAGTATCCACTTTTCTGTGCAGAACTCAATGCACAACAATAATATTACGGACTGAAATAAACGCTAACATCACTGTTACAATTTCGTTCATATACACACATAATAATCGAATTGCTGTTTGTAATCATATTTGAAAAACAAACACAATATCAGACGCAAGTACATTGAGCCGCAAAGTACTGAAGAACCAGAAACTGATCGTTCGTAGAAATAAGTGAACCGGTCGAACGAAATGAATCGCAATTGGTTTTGTCAAGTGCAATGGCCGAGGTATCATAGCAAATAGGTGAACGGCAAATGCTTGTAAGCAAATTGTTGCAATCCTACTAAAACGAAGGCAAGGCAGATTTTCTTTCGTAGCTTTGAATATATTCAAATGCAGATTTTTTAGCAAACAAGCGAGAGCTTGTATCGGATTTCAATATGCGGTTTTGCTGCAACATTTGCAACATATATTTTATAAGCATTTTTATGGGACAAACCAGACAGAATGCGTAAAATGAAATTGCCGTTCTGTAATTGAGCAATAATTGAAATTGATTGATTATATTATATGTACATATATATTTATTTATTTTCATTTAAGTAACTTATTACTGAATAAAACTTATAATATTCCTGAAGCTTGCGAAGGTTCCACGTGTTCCGAATTGTATTATTTAGCCGTTTTTAATCCTTAACAAATATTTCTATGAAATACTATGAAAAACTTACAAATATTTACAAAATTACTTTTGAAATATTATATAAATGAACCCCAGACTACATATCTACACATCGTACCTTTTTTTTCCGTATTTATGCAGGATATTTCTGGAAAACTGATTTAGATTGTTTGTAATACTCTCGTACAAATGGAGAAAAAGGGAAGAAATTCCAATAATATAAAATAAAACAAAATCAGCATAGAAGAAGTAAGACCTCTAAATAATAACTAAGATACATTTTAATACAAAAACGCAAGTAAATTCAAAACACCTTCGCTTATATTTGATAAAATTCTTTACGAAAGTTACACATGTATGTATGTAATATGTATGCATATTGTACTCCTCCCAAGCCGGTTAGTCTAAGTCAAACTAGATCACGCGAAAATAAAGAGCACCGTTACTGTTAAAAACCACACAGTTGCAAGATTTGTGGCAAAAAAGTTTAAGTTACTCTAAAGCAGAAGCATATTTGAGTGGTAAAAAAAAGCAATGCCAGGTTACATGAATACATTTGCGGCAACAAATTGATGAAAAGCAATGTGAGTAGTACATGATTACTGAGGCGACTGGTCACACTGGGTGTGTACTTTGTTATGATATAAAATTTTCTTTAACTGATTTTTAATTTTGTTTTTAACTGACTTTTTACCCAAAACCTCATAGCACAAATCGGTTGTAAGTGTAAATACGATTGTAGAATGTTAAATTTAATGCACTTAGGTTCTTTTTTAACGCAGTTCTTACGAAGGCCTCATTTTTGAATATATCGGTGTATGGGAGCTATTTGGTATAGTGGTCCGATTTCTGTAATTTTCAGAACTAATGTTTAATTCATTATATCTGTATGGTATACCGAATTTCATACTTTTCGATACTTTCATAGATTTATGACTCTAATCTGCAATGTAATAGTAGACCTTTCTGTTCGGTTCGAACAAATATTTTTGTACATCTGGGCACCAACTGTGGTTCATAACCTGAGAGACAAGTGTGCGTACAAGCACAAGGACAGGCGGTCAAGGCTAAATCAACTAAACTGATAGTTCATATTATATCGGTAAACATTTTGATACATCTATCTCTATTCCTTCTTCAAATTTGATATTTTGGAATAGATTTGTCCCTGATTCCAGATCAAAAAGTTGTACATACATATGTCCATACATATATTAAATAGTTCAAGCATACTACCATTTTTTTAAAGACTGTTCCCAGGTCCACTTCCTGCAGAGAAATGCGGTTCATATATTAGCACTATCGAAAATACCTTGGTAATCCTGCTCTAACGCTTCATTGTCGCTTTTAACTCTGAGATACCATTTTTTGTTTAATATGAAATATAAAGTTAACGAAATGATTTTGTTTCGGCTTAATGCTATGCTCAAGTTTATCGTTCAAGATTATCTGTGAACGATTTAACATTGACGACAACAATTCTTTTCGGTCAAAACTAATTAAAATTTATTTTGACAACTGCTTTAACAATTCAAGTTTTATGATTAATGCGGATTGGTCGTTACGATACAGGATGAGTTCAAATCATTTGGCTCCGAATACTATGAACAAGTTATCTCCCTTCAGCTTCCCGTTCAGTACTCTTGTATCTGAACAAGTGCAATTAGAACAAAGAAATACATTTATATTCCTATTGATAAGAATACATGATATTGGTTAACCGTTATTGTTTTTATAACATGTATTGTATTTGCTGCTATTTAGCTTCAGTATTTTAGTATCTATAACTCTAGATGAGGCAGATGTCGATGACCCTCTGATGTTAGGGCTGTCAGATTACCTCAGCAGAACATAAAGAGTTTAATATAATAACGATATTTGAGAAGAAGGTAAAATATTATTTATTATGAAAATGTATGCTAGAATTTTAAGTTTTGGAAAAATCTTCCTCTATTTATGATATTAAGATCATACTTATGTATACAGTGGCTCATAGCCAAAGTGATGCAGCTATGTAAGAAATACTATAATAAGTTTTATTTAAAATATAAATGAGTTTTCCTAAACACATGAATGCCAGTTAATAGCGGCAGATATACACATTTCTTTTATGCTTTAAAATATATTTATTTATATATATTTTCTTTTATTAACAACAAAAAGAAATTGTACCAGCAAGAAGTAACAAAAAAATGTTTAATATTTAATAACAAAAAAGAATAAATTTCTTTTCTTTAAAGAACAAAACTAAGTTGTATGTTATGTAATATTAAGTAGGATACCACTTGCTGTCTCTGACTGTTTTCATACATTTGGACGTGGATTCCATTAACTTCTTCTTGTAGTCATGAGCAATATTGTTCCATTCTGTTTGTAACTCTTTGAAACTCTTATTTTTGAATGTATCGTTCCAAAACCACAGATTCTCAATCACATTCAAATCTGGCACTGCGCTGGGGTTTGTACTATGTGCGAACAATATCAAATAAACCAACTTTGCACAGCACCTGATTTGTATAATAGATAGCTGCATCACTTTGGCTGTGAGCCACTGTACGTACAAATTTTTTGAACAAAACAAAACTTTATTTTTGATCATAAATATACGACGAAGCTTCTTGGATGACATCAACAGTTGTTGTAACCTCATTCTTTATAAACCATGTTATTTACTTATGTTCAAGAAAATTAGTGAAATGTAAATGAAATAAAAAACCAAAAATAAACTTTTCATTTTTAATGATCAACAAAAGTTCCTACACATTCTGCTACTAATAGTTTTTTAGATATGTACCAAAAGGTATGAATATAAAACTCACTAGGAAAATTATTTATTTTAAAACATATGTAAAGAAGTTATATTGTATATGAATAAAAGCTACGAGCTAATAGATATAAAAATATCAATGGTTACAGCGGCGCTCGTACGTTATGATATGATCGAAGCAACAATACACGCACATATTTATATAAGGGATTGTTTTTACAGAAGCATAATTTATGCGTTGTTTGTTCGTTTGCCTAATATATATCAAAGCAAAACTTGAAACACAGTTTAGTCATCATGAAAAAAGCTACTGAAAAGTAAACGAGTAAACGACCACAACATAATTTTTGAAGTAGTGCTTCAAAATGTTTGTGTTAAAGTGGTATGTACATAATCGTACAATAGGCAGCAAAAGTGAGTACATATTACCATGTTTCGGTTTTCGCACTGAATAAAAGCATTTCATTTCCTTTATTTTATATTTCATTTACTAAGAATTGGCGAAAAGCTATCAGCCAAAAGATGGTCATGGAAGAAGAGAAATAAAAAAGCAAAAACAATTATGAAAATATGATATTAACAGGCCTATTCTCACTGTTAAGTAAATTTTGTTACTTGTTTTTAACACCCGAAATTGAATTTAGTATTCTGGCGAACTGGTTACAATGTTTGAAAAAACTTTGGCAGCACTGCTTTTCTCGTCCTTGTCAAATTATATTTGCCAGTTGGTAAAGCAGCGAACGTAAATACAACAAATAAATACAACATCGAAATGGAAGACGGTGCAAAACAAAATAAAAAAGTTTTCCTTATATATTTATTAAATCATAAATAAATATTTAATCTAATTTTGGAAAATATGCCTAAACGACAAAAAAAAAACTGAATGAAAACGCTATCTTTCAAATTAAAAGGCCATTTTGAACAATTTTCTTTATCTTCAATGAAATCCCGGCCTAAAATATCCCTACCCATTTTGGTATTTAGTTTTTTCAAACTAGCAACACAAAATCAAGCAGCAAATTTTTTTGTTACCTCCTATTTCGTTGGTAATAAAATTTATAGGGTGACAGTGAATTCAGAATACGAAATAGTATCAAAATTTACCGGATGGTAAATTTTAAAACCAAAGTGAATTTTGTTACCTCGACAGAAAAGGCCTGTAAGTTTTAATTTATAATACTTGATGAATTTATTTATAGACAGCCCGTCCTATTATAAGTCAACTTAAGCTTGACTCAAACGCATCCTCTTAGAGTAAAGGACATTTCTAAGTGATTTGTATCCCTTTGTCTAATGACGTTAAAAAAATT